TAGCGCCATTGCCAGGCAGTTCGGAAAAGAGGGTTGGAGTCTCCCGGAGAAGCCGAGCAGATGCCAATGTAATTCCACAACATGTGCTGACATTAAACATTACTGCATATTAACTTTCCATATGGACTGCAACTCAGCGTTTTCGTGAGCGGCTGCAGGAAACCTAAAAAGGCTCTTTGTCTTTGTGCTGTCTGAGAACTAATTCAGCCCTCTCATGTTACATCTTTCCATTCTGTTACAGCACGCGCAAAAAATCCCCGAATGTTTCCATTTGGTTTTCCAGTTGAATCAAACTTCATCCTCACGTTCTCACATCACTTTCGCTCGAGACAGCTGTCGGAGGGCTAAACTGATGCTGTTTGGTGGTGACTTTAATTACAGATCCGTTTTGAACTAAAACAACTTAAAATCATGCGGTAGAAAACACTTATCCATTTTACTTCTGGAACCCATTTATAGCTAAGCATAAAGTGCATATGTTTTTATTAAAAGTATTTTTATATTTCATTGTATGTGTGTATCCAGCTCAGTGTTGCCAAGGTTGTTTTGATGATAGATGAGATCGGAAAATATCAAAGATTTAATTTCATGCATGAAGAACTGTGTAAAAGAACTAAGGACAATGTGCATTTCATAGCAAAAAAAACCCAGCTTATATATGGATAGTTATGTCAGTGTATCACATGTTGTTACAGTGTTACTCATATTTATATAACACATTTTAAACTATTTGTCATGCAAAGTGTGTAAAAATGATAAAATCCAAGTACCTATTCAGATTCAGTAACCTAAGAGGTATAAAATACAAATGTATGCATATACTACATACATAAAGTATAAATAAAATCAAGTTTATTTTAAGCATTTTTATGGGAATCCAGCAGCTGTCGACTGTGATTGGATGTGGGGAAAAAATAGGCTAGATTTCATTCCTTCTGGGTGGGGTTTGAGCTGAAAAAATGTCTGGGATCTGGCAACCCTGATCCAGCTACACAGTGCAATACAATTTAGTGATTTTGTTTGCATGTGTTCTGACTCTTGATAAATGTACATTAGAGTTTGACTTAAGATACTTATGTCTCTGCAAGAACTTACTGCAAAAGTCTGCAGTTTAACCTTTTTCTGACATTTAATAATGATGCTTTTGTAACAATGTTTTCATTTCAGCTCCTGTAATTAACCAGCGCTAATGGTAATTCATTGGGCAATAACTGACTCATAGAGGAGGTGATGACCATCCCAGACTGCTTGTTTCATGCTGCATATCTGCAGAACTGCTGAGGCATGCCTCGCAACAAATGGCAGATTGTGACTGTTTTTCATACTAAACATATTAAGTATAAATAGCTTTTACTTTTGTAATTCTCTCTCTGTGTGTGTGTAGAAGCACACGCCTCTATGTAGACTGGAATCACAGACAACATTGTGCGAGTAACATTTTTAAACAAACAGAGCACATCATTTTCATTTAATAGCTTATTAGAACTATTTCTAGAAATGTATAAGCTATAAATAACTATATAGAAGTTCATCATACAGGCCAAAGTTGATTTATAAGAAGTAGTAATACAGTTTAATATAAGATATTCAACAAGTTAGCAATGGATGCTCTGCATCCAATTAATGAACAAAATCATATTTCACTGTAAATGTTTTAAAACGGAAGAGAGACAGACAGCATGGACTATACCTTGAGCCTCTACTGAATTCAGTAATATAGTAAAGAGTGCAGCGGCAGCCAAACACAGCCTGATCTTCATGTTTACACAGACACAGTCAGCAGCTCATTAATTAATCTACAAAGAGAGAAAAAAAAATAATGCATCGTTATATCTACAGTCATTGCATGCACTCTAAAAAAATGCTGGGTTAAATACAACCCAGTGCTGGGTAAAATAGGGACAAACCCAGCAATTGGGTTGTTTTGACCCAGCGGTTGGGTTACATGTTTAACCCAACCTTCTGGGTAGTAACCCAACCGCTGGGTCAAAAACAATCCAATTGCTGGGTTTGTCCCTATTTTACCCAGCACTGTGTTGTATTTAACCCAGCATTTTTTAGAGTGTAGTATGCCTACTTTACTTTAAATAATAGCAGAATTATACCAATGCATTCATGGTGTGCTTAGTTTAATTTTGTACTAAATAAGTGTGAATCATTTTAACACCTAAACATGTAAATGGCAATTAGATGACAGAACTCTCGGCTTATTCCCTTTCAGTTAGATGACAGAACTAATGTGTAGAATTGACGGCTCACGAGCGCCTCCACGTGGAGCTTGACACAAGCGCAGTGAAAATGCACAACCATTCCTCTGATTAATAGGCTATAGACCTAAACCTAAATCAACAATTAGCCCATCTCAGAATAATTTCTGCTAAACATTTAAAAGCTCGTTTTACCCAAATTTTAATATATAAAAAAAAAAAAAAGACGTGGCAGAGCTTTAAAAAAAAAAAAAAAACATGCATTAATGAATTACAAAATTGTGATTAAATCCTCTAAATGTCACATAAATCACCTTTCGTAACATTCGTAATGTTTAACGTTAAATAACGCGTTATTTGACCAATTCCGTACAAATCTAAATAACTCCAAAGCAGTAAAGAAGTCATATTCAGACCTGTACTCGTCCGTCAGGATCACAGCTGGACTGAGAGCCTCGTCCCGCTCCTCCAGCAGTGAGGGAAGCCTCTGGGAGAATGGGAGGAATCTGAGCTCAACCTGACACTAAATAGGGGGTTGCTCCCAACTTTACTCCCTTACGAAATTCCTCAAGAATGGAGCCCCCTCTTTTAAATCAGAGATACGGGACTAGGCTACTTCAGAAGAATCCAGATGCAGATGTGCTGGGGTATTCAGTTTTAATAGGCTGCCTCAGATCGTGCTTAGAAAAGATGGGCAACATTACTAACTCGAAAAATGATTAGAATGAATGAAATATACTTATTGGTGAAATGTAGGCTACTTTTTACGTAAAATTCAGCTACCTCACAAAAACTGTATTAAATCCTCGTGTTTAGACATAGCCTTCTTGAAAAGGGAAAAAGTCGATATTTTTATGGTAGGGGAGTCGCTTACCATGGGCTACTGTTGGTTAGACAGTCGTGTTAAAGGGACAGTTCTCCCAAAAATGAAAATGCTGTCATCATTTACTCACCCTCATGTCGTTCCAAACTTGTATGAGTTGCTTTCTTATGTTGAACACAAAAGGAGATATTTTGAAGATTGCTGGTAATCAAAGAATTGGTGGTTGCCATTGACTTCCATAGCATTGTTTTGTCCTGCTATGGAAGTCAATGGCAACCACCAACTGTTTGTGACTTTTACTAGCAATGTCTGAGGGAAAATTGTTCCAGCGACTTTTTTTTTTTCAGTGCAGATCAGCCTTTCGCATAATTACTATACCTAGAGCTAAAAAGTCATTACTTTTAACTTATTTTGAAATGCGTTCACTACTAAGAAAGATTTAGCCTATTCATCATAAAAAGAAGAGCATTGTTGGAAATCATACTATTAGTATATTCTTAACATAATTATCATACACTTCATAGCATAGCTGAACAATTATCCACCATACTAAGTTCATATACACAGCGTCTTATCAAGTTTCTTAGCGAAAGAAAAAAAGGAGAATGTGATCAAGATGAGATGGGTTTTAATGTACTTGTATTCAGTGTTGGGGAAAGTTACTTTTAAAAGTAATGCATTACAATATTGCGTTACTCCATAAAAAAAGTAACTAATTATGTTACTTAGTTACTTTTTATGGAAAGTAATGTGTTACGTTACTTTTGCGTTACTTTTATAATCTGGACAGGGCTTGCTTGCTTGTTTTTAAAATAAAAAAAAGTTATAGTTTTGGCAAATATAAAAGCCTTTTCACACCAAAAGTGAAATGAATGCGCCTCAGGCTGAAGGGAAAGTACAGTAGAATGCAGAAGAAGACATTTAACACCCTTCAGCAATAAACAAACACACAAATGTTCGTCTAGAGTAATTTGTGCTTATTAGTACGGTTGAACTGGATCATCGAAGCTCAGAAGCAAATAGAATGGGATTAAATACATAAAGTATCTTTGTGTTGTTTAACATTTAATTATTGCAGGTTTGCATCATATTCTGAGTTGCATTATTTTTATTCATTTTGAGGAATACTGAATCCGTTTTTTTTTTTTTGTGAGTGAGATGAATGAATGCATATTCATATTTATTTTAGAACTACAGTAGCATCTTACAATTTCTCTCAACATGGGGACAGGAGAGCTGTCAGTCAATAAATTGAAAAAAAAAAACTTATTTGAAAAAGTAACTCCGATATTCTCTTGTAAATTAAAAAGTAATGCGTTACTTTACTAGTTACTTGAAAAAAGTAATCTGATTACGTAACTTGCGTTACTTGTAATGCGTTACCCCCAACACTGCTTGTATTTTTAAAGTCGGCATTAAATTTCTAAATGCAGTAATAGATCTTATTGTGAATTCTTCATGAACATGTTTACATTTCTTTTTTTGCACTTGTAATGTTTAATCTATGGAAGCCCGTTTCCGCCACTGAAAAACAAAAAAAAGGTAATTGCGACTTTTTTTCTCAGAATTGTGAGATATAAACTTGCAATTGCGAGATAAAAACTCACAATTCTGACTTTCTCGCAATTCTGACTTTTTTTCTCACAATTCTGACTTTTTCTCGCAATTGCGAGTTTATATCTCGCAATTCTGACCTTTTTCTCAGAATTGTGAAATATAAACTCACAATTGTGAGTTAAAGTACAACTTTGAGGGGGGGAAAAGACTGATATGTTCTCAGAATTGCGAGTTTATATCTTACAATTCAGAGAAAAAAACAGTCAGAATTGTGAGTTTGTATCACGCAATTCTGAGAAAAAAAGTCAAAATTGAGAGTTTGTATTTTAACCGTAGATTAAAAACAACAGACATGTTTTGGTGATGCATAAGCCTGCAAGCTCATGTTCATTCGCCTGCTTTTTGAGTGCCACGCCCACATATCAACATCCAATCAACAACCAATGCATAGAACCAAAGTCCCGTCCTATATCTTTTCTTTTCCGATAATCCGCTTCACTCGGATGCACATCACAGGACAGAAGATCTGTCACTACTTCCGCTGCATCGTAACTTTAAATCTAATGAAATTTTGTGAAAATACAATTGAGAAGAAATCTTCAAACACTGACTGCCAGTGGAACGTTTTATTACATAATGATTGCGCTTTACAGTACAATCAATAAATATTCATCCAATGTAATGAAAATAAATGACAGGACATCTAATTGTGAGGATTAGAGATCTTTACAACTCAGACACATGAATAGAGGGGCATGTTCAATCCTTCTTCTTGGGCAGCGCTGCATCGATTAATGCATACAGCACATAACCGCACCCTGCGGAGAGAAGAAGTGGGACAATAAAAGTGCTGTTTACAGAGCCAAAGTAGTACATATTCACTACATTTTTACACTTAAAAGGATAGGAAGTACTAAGCAATATGACAGTGCCTTTGAACACCCTTAAAGACATTTAACCTAAATTAAAATGACTGGGATCCTCAGAAAAATTCCCTGATATGAGTAACTATAAGTAACTGTAATGCTATTAATAGAAATATTTACATAGTTTGATACCTAATACACACCTAATACAAATACAGTTGCAAACTATATGAACTAACAGTACAGCTGAATACAGGATTAAATACATATTTTTCAAAAAACTACTTTTGAAGGGTTTCTTTTTTGTTGTATAGCAGGACCCACAAAAACATTCTTCAATAATAACTATAGCAATAAGAAAATTATAATAGTAACTTTAAGGAATATGAATTTTACTTTCATGTTTTTTTGTTTATTCTTTGCCAATAATAAAAGGAATTGATCAATTTAATTATAAAATAAAAATAAAAGATTAAATAAATTGTTCATATTTTATGCCTTCATTTGATTACCACAGTTTTTGATAATTTCAAGCAGATTTTCTTAAAAAAAAATTAATAATAATAATAGTAATAATACATTCAGTTGATTAGGCATGGTTTTGATTATTAAACTGAATTCAGGAAAAGGAAAACATAGAATTTAGGGGGAAAATCTAATTGATTTCATTGGGCCCTATTAATGTAATATTATTTATTTACTGAAGTTATTAATCATTACGCTATCATGAACCACACTGATTGTAATCTCATTTAAATGGGATACCAGATAAATAAAATGAAAAGCAGATTAAGCATAAATAATATAATGGCCAGCCACATATCTATAGCTTACCAAAGACAGTAAGCGCCATCGTTGCCCTGTACAAGAGAGCATCTGTAGTGCCTCCCTTCAAATGAACTGGCATGCCATTGTCTTCCTGAAAGAAACAGAAACCGCATATTAGCATTTGATGCATGAGCATGCACTTTTGGTTTTTGCCACAAGTGTAAAGCATAAAAACAGACTGAACAAGAAAAGCCAAATTCTGAATTCGCAGATTTAGAAAGTAAGATTAATGCTACAGATCTCCTTTAATAAAAGTAGGTTTACGTCTATGTTTTAAGAAAACTTCTTGTTTTGGTCAACGTTACTCTTATGGGTGGGACCACCAAAACTAACTCGGACACAGAGCACAATATAACAGCCACCCTCAATTTATCACCGGACTGCTAGAAGCAGAATGTGCCAGCGTCAAAGCCAGTGATATCGCAGTTATAGAATAAGTGAAGCTTTACGCTACTTGTTTAATTGGACTCTTTGAACTTTCTTAGCATTACAACGCATGCAATGATTAGTAATTACAGCCTGCTATAGAAGTGAACCCTGTTAGCGAATCATTTCGTACTTATCTGTTCATCCACACTGGACCATCAGTCCAGAACCTGGGAACAAATTGCAGTCTTAAAGGGGTCATATAATGCGATTTCAAGTTTTGCTTTCTCTTTGGAGCGTTACAAGCTGATTGTGCATAGATAAGATCCCTGAAGTTGCAAAGACTAAAGTCTCAAAACCAAAGAGATATTATTTATCAAAGTTAAGACTCTGCCACGCTCCCCTAAAACGTCTCGTTCTAACACGCCCCCACATATCTACCTCACTATGTGGAAACATTTGCGTAATGCCGCTCAAATGTTCACGCAAAGAAAGAAGGCGTGGTTTCAGTAACCGCAGTTAGTGTTGAAGCAGCATGTCAGGGAGACGCTGTGTGTTTCTAGACGAAAGCAAAAGCACTTTATTTGGCCTTCCAGAAGTAGATGCATTTAGGAATCTTTAAGATTACTTACAACAGAACAGCAATGCATTTTATAGACGACCGTTTCGTGAACCTAGGAGAGGAGGTAGCTCTGACTTTTGTGCATCGTGTGTGTGCACGCGCGCGCGAGCGCGAGAGCGAGCGAGAGACAGAGACAGCGCGAGAGCGAGAGACGGCGCG